AGCATTGCATTCACTGTGGGAAATTAATAAAGATACGCATTTAGTTTACTTAGAGAAAAGCGGAAAATGGTAATGAGTAAATCTTTATGTGACGTTACAGACAAGCTAACAGAGTATTGCCATCCTTAAGTTCATGATAAATCAGTTTTTGTTTTGTCGTCTTCCAAATGATGGTCGATGGAACATAATTTAAATGCTACTTTAAATGACAAAAGACGTGTCTTTCCTTTGGTTTCTTGTTGGCTGTTTCCTTTACCAACATTTTGACCACGTTTCTACTTAGGTCTCCTCATAATTTATGTTCATTTTTAAATTTCCTTTTCTACCTTCTTCAACTTATCTGGATTTTTACTTTCAGTGTGCAAGAAATTAAAAATGTAAATTTCCTGTATTACTTTTATTTATGCGGCAATTTCGGTAAAACGCAAATGTACGATAAATTGGTTTAAAGCTAATAAATTTTAGTCTTTGTAGACTTATCGCACCTTTGTTTTTACCTGACAGTCGCTACAAAATCAATAAACTTAGCTCAAATACAATACATAATTTCAAGAAAATGAAGATCGTAACTCACAAAATACAAGGAGAAAAATTTTTTTTTCAAAAATACACAATTTCACTTACTCCAGACTAAGTGCAGGAGAAACCAAGAAATAAAACGGAAGTAACTTTATATTTTTATATTTTATTCATATAAATAAATCAATTTTATATATTAAAATTTTAGCACTTTTAAATTTTATTATTGATATGTTAGTGTTTATTTTATGTGTTTTATTTCTGTCCACAGTCTATTTACCCATTACAAATATGTGTCATCTGCTGCATTGCAGATAAGCTATCAGAGATGGATGTTTATATTCGCATAGAAATCATTGAGCATATTTTATTTATTTATTTTACTAGACAGCTGACTATAAAATTTTAACTCTTTATAAAATGAAGTTGTTTCCCACGGCTTACATTTTGTTCAATCATATTTAATGTTTCTCATAAGACTTAAATACAAAAGTCACTTAAGTTATGATCTCTGCTTATTTTACAAATGGAAGAAATGCTTTGAAGTGTAGTCTTGTAAGAAAATAAAATATTATATTTAATAACAATCAATATTGAAGTCAGTTCTTTGCCCTTTGTACTAAATTCGTTAAATAATCTCGCATTTCATTTTTTTTTAATAACGTCAAAAATACACTTTTATAGACTGTTTTATTGTTTATCTCCCGTAAACTTTTGAGTTGATTTTTTTGCACAAAAGACGAATAAGAAACTCATAAGAGATTAGGATCCATTTACGATATTTATCAAAGTATAAAGTGTCAAAAAAAATGCAATCAGAAACCCCAATATCTTAAACGCAAACTTAATTTTTACATAAAAAAAAGAAAAAGAAAAAAATTATGAAAGATTTGCAATATTTATGAACTACTAAGTGTTAAATAATAGCCCACCAAAAAAAAAATTTAACCACAAAATTATCAAATTTAATACCTCGTTACATCTATATACCAAATATAATCATATGACTCAAACGGAAATCGAGAGACACAAATTACTATCTCACTCAGATGCTAACCAGACATGGATATATTTGCAAGTACCTGTACCGCATGGGAATCTACCCGACTGCAATTATGGCGTTGAAGATTATGACACCTTCTTTCACTCTAATCGGTGGCTCACATTTAGAAAAGACACAATAGCCCAAATTAGACCAATAAATCGAAAATATAATGGAAAAGATAAGAGCGAACTTAGAGAACTAACGAACGATAGAGTCATACGTGATTCAAGTCCTCAAAACGAAGAAAGTAGGCCTAGAAAGAAGAAACAGAACCTAGGTTAATATATAGTGCAGACATCAAGAAAATGCGGTGAAAAAGTGTAAGTCTGAACGCAGATCGAAAAACACAAGAGCATTGCTTAAAATGCCAATATAAAAAAGACCCTCCTCGAAGTAATGCGAAAGCGGTTCCGACGGGAAATAAGTCTCTTCGAAGAGGGGGTGTTTTAGTCCGTATATTACATATTAATGTCAAGAAGTTGGACACACCATTCTGATGATGGTCGGCCTGACGCTGCATAAAACATTCCAGCTCCTCATCACAAAAAAAAAATTTATATATTTAGACAAATAAGTTCGGATATTATTAATAGATTAAAGTTGATTTTTGTTTTGAAAATTTGTTAATTAAATTAATATCATTTTTTTCAAAATTTTTGTAATAAATTTTTTGGTCATTTTTCTTCTTTTTGTATCTTGTTTTCTTATAAATATATACAATTTATTATGTATATATTATGCAATATATATTTATTATGCAATTTTTCAACTATCTATGAATATTGCTCAAATATTTATATAATATAAAGTGTATATTATATAGGGTAATAAATATTTTAAGAGTTATATCAATACGAAATAGCTCCCGCACTGCTTGTTTACTGATTTCCATCAAGCATTTGACAGTATTAATCGATAAAAATTACCTTCAAAAATCTTAAAAACTTTACTGAAGTTAGATCAAAAATAAACTACTTCAAAACAAAGTATATGCTGAGAACAAAAAAGGTGTAATGATAATCAGTTTATAATAAATAGCAAGTTATTTGAAATATTAAATACCTGGGTTTGGTATTAAATAGAACCTCAGCAATATACGAAAGACTTTAAACAAAAAATTAGTTTCTGATTCTTCAGTTCCTATATATGAACTCGAGATATAGGCTGCTTAATTATATCAAAAACTATTAACCAACTTTCGCATGTTAATTTAAAGTACTTCGAAAAATATTGGGCACGGTTACAAACTCAGCCATTCAATAAAGGGTTAAAATGTGATCAAATACATTAAATCTCTTAAAGTTGAAAACGAAATTGAGATACAAAAAAAAAATTGTTACAAGAACAACGATGTCGTCTTGTGCAATATTGGTAGTAATATATGCAAAATACATTTAAGTGAACATTATGATATAGCAATATAGTAGATACTATGAGTATTTACTGCAACAGAATTATTTAAAATTGAATTTTTTTAAAGTAATCATTATTTGCAATATAACTGCTTGTATTATCGTTTATATAACAAATCTCGATCAAGAAAGTAAGTCTTCTTAGTGAGGCATACAAAGTATAATTTAATATTTAATTTAGTTACTTTATTAAATGGTATTAATGATTTTTTATTTTTGTCTACATGTGAAGTAATTCTTGTTATAAATCCTCCTCAATTAGCTAAGAAAGCCGTTTTGAATCCACAAAAGCCTCGTAATAGTGGGTAGTAGTGGGTCAATCTAGAACCAAAGGATTTGGCCAATGCTAATGCTAGAGATATCGCCGAATGTGTTGATAAGGGGGCCACCAGAAACTTAAGCGTAGTTCTGGCCAAACCAG